GTCCGGGCCGCGGCCTCAGCTCAGCACGCAGCGCTCGCGCCGGCTCAGCTGCCGGCTCAGCTTGCGGCGCCGCTGCTCCAGGCCGCGCTCCAGGCGTTCGTCCTCCTCCAGCGCGCTGGCGGGGAACCGGTCGGGTCAGCCCCGGGCGCACCCAGGACCCTCCCCAGCTCCCAGCGCCCGCCCGGCCGCCACTCACATCCGCTCCTTGTGGTCCAGGTCCCGGACCAGCTCGTCGCGCTGGTTCACCAGCGACACCAGCTCCTCCAGCAGGAGCTGCTCTCGGTGCTGCTGCGCTGCTGTTTTCTGCCAGTCTGAGGGCGGGGGAGGCTGAGGGTCAGGAGGCGGCGGCTCCTGCCCTGCCCTGTCGCCAGCGGCCCCCCGGCCCCACCTCCCACCTTCGATGGCCAGCATGGCCCGCAGCTCCCGGCTCAGCAGCTCGAACCTCCGCTCCAAGTCCTGCTCCTCGATGCTGAGAAGTGGGGGTATCAGGTCAGGGAAAAGGGGCAGAGAGGGCGTGCCCAGGGCTCTGACCCACCTCCCCATCGGTCCCCATGGAGGGCCGGGCCGACCACAGAGCTACACCCCAGACCCCAGTCCGAATGATCTCTTTTGTTCCAGCTGTTCTCCAACGGATTATGGTTTATTGTTGTCTCCCCACCATCCCCGTTTTAAAAAATAAGAAACAACTTGGGCTGGCCCCTGGCTCACTCGGGAGAGTGCGGTGCGGATAACACCAAAGCCACGGGTTCGGATCCCATATAGGGATGGCCGGTTAGCTCAATGGGTGAGCATGGTGCTGACAACACCAAGTCAAGGGTTAAGATCCCCTTACCGGTTATCTTTAAAAAAAAAAAAAAAAAAAGATCTCCTTACTGGTCATCTTTAAAAAAAAAAAAAGATTCAACCGAGGACTATTTGGATGAACATTACTCATGAACAAGAAGTATTAGCCTAAAATTATTTTGAAAAACTATCCAAAATGCAAAAGGGAGGCAAAGCCGCCTCCACCATGCAAGAAAATAAAGGCAATGATCGCAGAGTCGCTTCTGACGCCACTTGGGATCCAGCTCAGAATATAAAAGAACAGGGTTGAACTGGGTAGGGGACTCAGCCCTGATCACTCTGAGCAACGTTTTGCTCTGGGCCTTGATTTTCTCATTAGTAAAAAATAGTACCGGGCAGGCCCAGTGGCACACTGGATAGTGCCCCGCGTGGGAGCGCGGCGGCACTTCCGCCGAGGGTTCGGATCCCACATACAGACCGGTTCCCGCTCACTGGCTGAGCGAGGTGCGGGCGCGACACCGAGGGTTGCGATCCCATTGCCGGTCCCGGTCCGGTACGGGGGCAACACTGAGGGTTGCGATCCGTTGCCAGACACGAAAAAAGACAAAAAGGAAAAAAAAAAAGAGAGATTGAAGAGACAAAATCCAAATATAATGTATGAACCTTACAACTACTAGAGAAATTAATATGGACTGGCCATTAACTATTAATTTTCTTAGGTGTGTTAATGGTATTATGATTATAAAGAAAAACGTC